CTTCTCACATCAGACTGCAAGCAGCTAAGAATGGAAAAGGCTGAATATAGGCACACATATGTTAAGTGGGAGCAAGATGCTAATTAACTGACACTAATAATGTTAACAGGCAAGGGGTGGCTACTGTATAAGATCTGGACTTTTGGTCCTTCTCAACAAGTTGTGTGGTAGCAGCACTAGGTGAAGCCTACAGTGTACTAAAAGGGTTATCTAAATTGTTTCTTCTCCTTGCAACAAATTAGCATCACGGTGTCCACTGGAAGAAACCCTTTAGAGAAACTAAATAACTACTTGCCAAGAACCCATAAGACAGTCAAATTTTGGAGCTGGTCTCTCAAGTTAAAACAACATCTCACATCTTCCAACTCAATACTTCTAATACTTCCACTTATTGGCAGAACCCATTTCTTTTACAATGTGTCCTTGCTTGGATGTGAAGTTGAGAGTCCTCTCTCTACAAAACACTTGTTCTCTACACAAGAGAGGTCTTTGGTGCAATGGAAACCTCAATAGAAAATGCAAGCTAAGTCTGGACCACTCAGAAATGGAGGAAAAATATATTATTATTTGTGTATATATTTATTAAGTTTGATTGTTCCATTCCCCTCTATAACCTTTTCTTCTCTTTCACAGTCTATTTTCTACTTTTCTCAAGCGCTCTCTCTCTCTCTCTCTCTCTCTCTCTCTCTCTCTCTCTCACACACACACACACACACACACAAACACACACACACATTTAAATCTACATTCCTTGTATAGTAGAAACCGTATTTGTTTTTCAGAGTCTGCCTTATTTTATGTACCAAAATAATGTCCAGTTTTATCCAGTATTCTAAAAATATCAGAAGATCTGTGTGTTTGTGTGTGTGTGTGAGTGTGTGTGTGTGTGTGTGTTGTTTATTTCTCTGTTGATGAGTATCTACCTTTCTTAGCAATGGGAATTAGTATGACAATATATATGGCTGGAAAGAATCTGAATATACTGACTTCAAATCTTTTAGGTATATATCCAAGAGTAGTGTCTTGTATAAATTTTTAATCCTAACTCAGGATTTCTACCCCTCCTTGATGGTTTAGTTTCTGGACAAAAGACACATATAACTTTTAATATTTACAATAAGCCTTAAGAGGCAAAAGATCTGGGCAGATATCTACTCTCTAACTATTAGAATCTACTTTTCTATTGATAATCCTGAGTTATTACTATGTTTTATTTGGGCTGCTCTTAACTCCAATTGTCCATCCCTTAGGGCCATTTTTTTTTTTTTTTACTCCTAACTCATGGAGTCTCTAACTTCCTTCTTTACCTTATTCTCTCCCTCCTGGTTCTCCTCTGGGCTTGGGAGCCCAGGAAACATAAACTCCACCTAAGTCTCTTCTGCGTAGTCATTAGCTGCCAGCATTTTTTATTTGCCAATCAGAAATAACTTGAGAGCAAGATCGCATAGCATCACTTAGATCCATGTGCAGACTCATCTCTGGGGCAACCGGGTCTTGGGGGGCGCACTTAGCATTACAATACACAGCAAAGGATCAAGCCTCAAGAGTAGTGTGACTGTACCATATGGCAGATCTAATTTTAGTTCGTTGAAGAACTTCTACACTGATTTCCATAATGGTCATGCCAGTTTATTCTCCCACCATCAGTAAATAAGTGTGCCCCCTTTTCATCATATACTGGTTAGTGTTTTGGCAACTTGATTTAGAGCCACCTTGGATGAGAGGCCTCAGTTGAGGGACTGCCTTGATCAGATTGGTCTGAGGTCATATCAGTAAGGAACTGTCTTAGTGGATGACTGATGTGGGTCCTTTGTGGGAAGCACAATATGAGGTTCAATTGTCAGTACAAGCTTGGTACAGCCTTGCCCTCCTATGAACCACACTTTCTGTGTGCTGACTCTGCGGAAACACTTCACAAATGATTTTGCCTCAATGATGCTGTTCTCTTTTAAATTATAACTAATTCTTCATTTCAGTTGACCAGTGTCAACTGTCCCAGTGTAGCAAAGATTTCACTTTAATGTTCCTGGTCTCCTGTTAATTATAGAAAATTTTTCATCTCCAACTGACCAGAACTACAAATTCTGAATTTAAAATACCATGTAAATAGTACCTAGTAGAGTCTTTGCTTCACTCCAAAACTTTACCGCCCAGACCTCCATCATTTGCATTCTTTCTTCTAAGATTTTAGGAATCTTTAAGCATTCTCATCTTCCTAGCTCACAATTCCCCATTAAACTCTGAGCAGTCAATGGCTTTCTTGGCCCAAAGTTCCAAAGTCCTTCCACAATCCTCCCAAAACAACATAAGTTATGGAAATATCCCACAATCCTGGTATCAATTTTTGTCTTAGGGTTTCAGAAGCAACTCGTATGTGTGCAGGACATGGATGTGTGCATTTCATCTTACACTTTCAGTTAATAGCGCATCACTGAGGGAAGTCAGGGCACGAACTCAGACATGGCAGGAAGTGAAGCAGAGGCCACAAAGCAATGATGCTTGCTTCATTGTTCAGTCTGCTTTATTATACACCTGAGGACCACCTGCCCGTGTTGGTATCACCCACAAAAGGCTAAGCCTTCCCACATCAATCACTAGGTAGGAAAATGTCCCTAGAGACTTTTTTCTTTTTGGTGGCATTTTCTCAGTTGTGGTTTTCTCTTCTCAGATAGCACTGATTTGGTCAAGGTGATAAAAAAAACACAAAACAAACAAACAAACAAACCGATACAACCAGGACACCCTCAAGTTTTTTTTAGTCATGGTGTCTATTTATTACAGCAACAGAAAAGAAAGTAAGCACACTTGCCAGCATCTGCTCTCCTTTGTGTTGCTGCTGATGATAGATAAATTGGATGAGTTGGTTTAGGGATAGTTAATTTTTGTGGTTCTTTATACATTCTAAATATTAATCCCTTGTTGGGTACGCAGTTTGCAAAAGATGTGTCCTTGTCGTCATTGTTTTCAGTCACTGTGTTCTAACTTTTTTCTAGTTCTTTGTGAATTTCACATCAAGCATCCCAAACTCACTCACCCCCTTCCCCTCTTACACACCCTCCACCCGTGCAACCTTCCCCACCAACAGAGAGAAACATCTCATTATGGAGGCTGTAGTGTGTCACAGTGCATCCTACAGTACACTCTTTGGTTCACTCTTCTTTGCTTGCAAATGCTCATTGGCGTGACTCATTGTTCTCATACGAGGCCCCTGGCTTCCACTACTCTGTTGATACTAGGACATATCTTGTTGCTTCCCTGTGTCATGGAGATCCTGTAGTTTTGGATCTGTAGGACCAGCCCTTTGTGTACTCCAGCAGATGATAGGTGGGATAGATGTTGGGGTGCTCCAATTCAAAGCCCTGGATCTGGGCCTGAGAGATATATTAACTGATCAGGGCACTGGATCTCCAGCTCTTCCCACTGAACAACCCCTGCAACCTCAGCCAGTTCTACTCTGCTGCCCAGGTGAGGTGCAGGGCCCCTTCTCCTGAGTGCTACAGCTTTTGAGGGCAAGATCAGCTCTCCTGCTCTTGTGACCCCAGCATCAGGTGTCCTGCTTGCCGTCTGCTATGGAGGGAGAGAGAAGGAGGGCATCCCTCCCTTGCCCAGGCCACTGCATGGGAGACGAGAGTTAAGGCCAACTCTCCCCTGCTCTTATCCTCAGTGCCAGGTCACCTGCAGCTTCCACAGTTTGCAGGTCTACTCTCTTGAATACTGCAGCTGGCTAGGTGTGGGTCAGCTCTCCTGCTTTCATGTTTCCAGGCCCAGCTCTTCCACGATGCCCAGGGAGCCAGTTCCGCACAGCCCTCAGACATGAACATGGTCCCAGGAGGGAGCCCAGACAAAGAAGGGACTTCCACCTGGCCTTTGATGGTAGACTCTTGGTACTGCAGGGCCATTGACTCAGACATGGCCCCCAGTGGTAGCAGAGGCCCAGACCTCACTACACATGGCCCTAGGTGACGTCACCATCATGAGCTACTCACATCGGGCTATTCCTCACTACACTCGAGTCTCCAGTTCTGCCTCTCTTCTTCGTTGTGCCCACATCCTCCTGCTTCTCTTTCTCTTCCATTTTCACACCACTTACTTGCTCCTCATAGTGGTGCCTGGGATCTCTGAGCATCTGTTGTAGTATCAAGGGCAGCCTCCGGAGTGCTATGCCCCACTAATACATTTTGGTAGGGATCATCTCATGCATGATCTGAGCCCTATGTGGTGCCCAACTGATGTTCATCTTAGGCTAGTTCCCTGTCCAGGTCCCATGGCACTGGTCTGGTGTTCTTCCTGGGCTCACTTCTCACCCAGGCCAGTCCGAGTGGTCTTGTGTGAGGGAGGGTCATCTATCTCAGGCTCACACCCACCCAGGGCCTGCAGTCCCAGATGGGGCTCTTCTTGTCTCCTGCTCTGTCTCACCCTGAGAGTCAATCCAGGACTGCATGGAACAAGACTGGTGGTCATCTTAGGCTTGCCTTTTTTTCAGGGACTCTTAGCCTATTTAATCATTCAGATGTTCATGTCTGTTCTCACAATTATTTAATCTCAAATAGGGGTTTCTACCCTGCCTTTGATCAGCTCCCAGATGAAAGGCACACAACTTTTATATTTATAATCAGCCTAAATCAGCACTAGAGTTGGGAAGTTATCTACTTCCTGTGCTATTAGAGTCTATTTTCCCATTATTAACCCCATTTTATAATTTGCCATGTTCCATCTAGGCAGCTGTTAACTCAAATTGGCCATCCCTTACAACTGTGTTTTCATGATTCACCTTCCCCATGATGGCTTCCTCCTCTCTCTACCTTCTTTTCCCTTCTCATGGTTCTCCTCAGGCCCAAGTAAACTCAAACCCTGCCTATTCTGCTCAACTATTGGCTGTTTGTATCTTTAACCAATAGTGGATAACTTGGAGGGAGGGGGAACAAGATTACTTAACATCATTTGTGTCTGTACAGATTCTCTTACCCCTGCGGGCAACCAGGCCTTGGGGAGCAGTTAGCATTACAATACAAGCAAGAGGCCAAACTTCTCAACACATGTCAGAATACTGAGCACAGACATAGCTTCTCTTCTTTCTGCCACCTACACATATGACACAACAGTCATATCTGCAACACCTCTAGGCCCTGTGATTATTTACCTTTCTGTGCAAAAGTTTTTATTTTCGTGCAGATTCATTTGACAATTCCTATGTTTATTTCCTATGCTACTTTCCAGAAACCCCTTGTCTATGCTCATTTCTTGAAATGCTTTATTTACAGTTTGCTTTAGCAGAGTCCAAGTTTCTCATATCACTTATAGGTCTTCAATCTGTTTTGAACTGGCTTTTGTGGAGCATGAGGAATGGAGGTCTGGTTTTATTTCTCTATGAGTAAAATATTTTCTTTGCAATTTGTTTGAAGAGACTATCTTTTCAAAGTTTGATGTCTACATCCACCTTGAATTGTTTCTGACTCTCTCATGTGCTTACATTGATCTGCATGTCTGATTTTTTGTTTGTTTAATTTTGCTAATACTACATAGTTTGATTTCTAGTGCTCTGTAGCACAATTTCAGATTCCATATTGTGATGCCTTCAGCATTAAACTTACTGCTTAAAATTCCTTTGGTTACTGAGTATCTTTTGTGCTTCTATTTGGTTTTAAAATTTTTTTTCTAGTTCCACAAAGTGTGTCATTAGAACTTTGAGAGAGATTGAGTCTATAGGTAATTTTTGTCAACATAACTTTTTCACAGTATTAGTTCTGACAACCCATGGCTATGGGGGAATATTCAGTCTACTATTGAATTCTTCAATTTCTTTCTAGAAGGTATAACAGGCCCCCAGATCTTAGCACAACTAATGCCACATTAACAGTAACATTATAATCAGCACATAGGCTCCAACCCCTAGGAAAATGGGAAGGAAGACCTAATTCATCAGAGTCCTCTTCCAAAGTTACAGGAAAGTTCCTAAATGTACTATCTTTGCTTTATTTTTTGGCTTCTGTAGTTCTGCTTCTTGCTAAGTAAAATGTGACAACCAGGATGTGCTTGTGTGTGTGTGTGTGTGTGTGTGTGACTGTGTGTATGTCTGTGTGTGTGTATGTGTGTGTCTCTGTGTGTGTCTGTGTGTACCTACAAGATAAAGAGCTCAGGGCTACAAGACACTTTAAATAAGTCTCCATGAAACAACTGGCCTATAGTAAAGACATTTATTTGGCTTTAAGAATGGCATGTGGTGATCTTTGGTGGACTAACTTCACAACAAAGGTAAGTTTTAGTTGTCTAGAAAATTCTTGGTTTATGGTAGGAGTCAAAAAAGAGGAGAAAGAGAGGAAGGAAGGAAAGAAGAGAGGGATGAAGAAAGGAATGAAGGGAGGGAAGATGGAGGGAGGGAGGGAGGGAGGGAGGGAGGGAGGGAGGGAGGGAGGGAAGGAAGGAAGGAAGGAAGGAAGGAAGGAAGGAAGGAAGGAAGGAAGGAAAAACAAGAACCATTTTGCAAGCCCAGACCCTGAAGGCTGACAGTATATTCAAACACGAGCCATGATCTGTGTGCTCTTCGGCAAGCTATTTGTTCTTTATTATCATTTTACTCTGTAAAACCAAGACAGAAACTGTACATCACTCCCTAGAACACAGGAAGAAGAGCATAAGTTAGTGAATGAAACATTTGGAAGTGGGTAGCACAGTCAGCATGCAGGACCTTCTCACACACTTCACTTCTGAAAGGAGATTTTAAATCTACTGCTACCTTACTAATATCATTAAAGCTAACTCCATTCCTAGTGTTTTCCCTCTTTGAAAGTTACACTGTAAATAGAGGAAACAAAATTTGAAAAGAAAAATAGCATGGTGTCATGGTATATGACCTTATCTTGTACTTGGAAGCTGGAGGTAGACATATCTAAGGTTAAAGGTCACCACAAACCTGTTTTAAAACCATCTAGTCCAAATTAACTGTATTTCTAGAGAAGGGAAATTGAATGAGAGACATGGTATTACTTCTGTGTACTTATATCAAGAGGGCCACCACTTCGTTTGTATTCTTGTTTTTCAAAAGTAATTAGGAAATGGAAATTTTCAAAAGAAAATGGGACTTTTATTTCCACACTATTTTTCCTCTGTCAGTATTATTATATTATTTAAAAGATAAGACAAAATCCAGGAAACACACATGTGTTAACTCGAGTTAACAAAGGCAGGAGTTAGAACTCTGCCATCCTTTCCTGAACAGTGAGCTCCTCCTTTGACACTGGGCTTTAAGTTTTCTCTCCCATAGCGTGGAGTTCCTTATTTCTTTGGGCTCCAGTGTTTTAGCACTCCACTTTCAATCTGGCTTCTTCAAGACATAAAAACCAATGGAATGACAAAACTCGGTGTGGATTCTGTGTCAGCAAGTCCTGGCTACGGAAGAGCTGAGTCTGTGTCCTGGATAAAACACGCCTTCCACACTGCCACTCTGTAGCCTCGGGCCATTTCATTCAAGGCATCTGCAGCTTTTATTCTCAGCTGACAGAAATAAGGATTAAAGTTTTCTTTTGTCCAAAATCCTGAGGATTAGAAGGACATGCTAAGAGCCTAGAGTCACAATCCAGCACCTTGTGTGGCCTGAAGGATGCAGCTCCTGGAAGGGTCTGTCATATCTAAGCAACAGTAAGAGGCACACATCTTTGGACACATAGACACATTAGACTCTGCTTCTAGACATGTGTCTTATAGCAAGATAGATGTTAAAGGATGTTCACTGCAACCTTAATGATAACAATAACAAAAGTAATTAAAGTGAGGGCAAGAAGAAAATGCTAAAACAATGATATAAAGGCAATGGTAAGAATTTTTAGAACATGGTAAGTAAAAATAAATTAAATTAAATTTGTGAAGTTGAATGTTTAACTCATTTATGAGTAAACAGAACATAAAGAATATAAGTACATATGTGTACATATAAATAAAATTGTTAGTAACTACTATTGATGGGAGAGAAATAAATATAATATCAGCATGGATTATATACACTCCTGAAAGTTTTACATTTTCATCATGAAAATATATTATTACTAAATAAAGTATACAGAATGCCTCTTATATAATGGATAATAAAAAAATGTTTCCTTATACTTATGTATCCTGTGCCTAGAGTTACATGTTCTTTCTTACAGTACAACTCCTTGCACACTTTTAGAAAACAAATATTGTTCCTCACATCCCATCAGAAGGCTCTTCCAGAGACCTTCAGCCCTGACAATTCCTTTATGACTTGCAGTAAAGGTCTCCCTGACCAGAGCTAAGGGATGAATAGAGGTTAGTTCAAACACATAAAATCAAGGCAAGGGAGTCTCCCACATCTCTGTTTACACTGCCATTTGTCTCCCTGTTAAAATGCAATAAAGACCATAAAATGAAATAGGCTGTGAAGAATGAAATAGCCCTTATTCATAAAAAATGGTTCAAATGAGAAAAGTTTTTTAATGGAGATGAGACAGCTACCATGCCACAAAGTGGGATATAGACACATAAAACCTTTTAGACAATTCATTAACCACAAATTATTGCAGGCAACTAAACTCAAGCTCTGTTTCCCTAAAACATGGTTGTGTTCCAACTATCAAAGGAATAGATGGTCTCAGTGTATCTGGTACAAAGAAAGAAGAAAAAGCAGCTTCTTCGGATCCAGAATCTTCCCAACTGGTCAGTGAGTCATAGAAGAAACATGACCTTAGTGAGAATGAGGAGGACATTATAGGGCAGTATCAGTCCAACCCACTTATACATCTGACCTCCATCCAGAACTTGAGCTGGAAAAAATGATCCCTGGCATTGGCATCATTGACCAGGAGTGAAGAATTGTCTTTTTCCCTACTTCTTGAACCATTTAAATCTACATCTCTCAAGGTTTGCTTGCTACAGACCTTCAACAAGCTTCCTTATCTAACTTCACGCAGATTGTCTTTACTCTTATCAGCTTCTGGCTCTCAGTAAGACACAATTGAGTTGGTCTACATTCCTACCCCTGCCATCTCTGGGAGTCAGCTTTGTGAATGATCAGACTGCTCCAGGGTACACCTCAGCTTATCACTTCTCGATGATTCTTGGGGTTCTTGATGCATTTGCCCTCTCTGCTGTCCAGGGTGACTGCAGACTTAAGGCAACGACTTATTTGTATGCCTTCATTCTTGAAAGGGTTAACATAAGGTAGACAAGTTCTTCTTGACTGAGTAATGTGCCTGTGAGTTTGACCTGAAGTAAAGAAGACAGACACAAATGAAGGCAGTGATGTCAGGCTTTCATGCTGCTTTTCCATATCTTCTGGGCCTAAATAATCAATCAACACCTAAGTGTTTTCTGAACTTTTATTTATTATGATTTTATTTTTAATACAATAAAGTTGCTCTAAAATTTAGCAACTTGGAGTGTACATTTACATATTTCTACATGTATGTATATTCAGGAAGCCTCAGAGCTATTACTAGATGATGAATATTGGTGGTTGTGGAGTACTACCAATGTATTTAGTGCTATTGAGTAACACATCTCAAAATGGTTACTATGACAAAATTTTATGTTATATATGTTTTATTAAAATACCATTTTAACTGATGTTTTTAACTAAACTTTTCTCTCTAGTCAATATCTCAAGAACTATAGTTATTAATTTGTACTTCATTGTTGTGCTTTCTTTTTCTTTTTATATTTTATTTTTTCCCAATCTGCTTTTATATCATTTTAATTACATGCAAGTATTAAGGTCACTTCTAGGTTGAGGAACTAGCACACAATAGATGGAAATAGCCAAGGAACAAACAAGACAATAAACACAAATAGTCAAAGAACAAATAAGGCAATAAACAAAGTCCTATGATCATTATTTCTAAGGGCTTATCAGGATGACCAAAATATCAGCCTGTTTCCCTGTCCTAGCCCAAAGTCATTTTCATGCTTGAAGCCTACTTCATGCCTGAAATTACTTCTTTGTTCTAGCCTAAGATTTAGATTCCTGCCTGAAATTTCTTCTTTGTATTAGCCTAAGATTTAGATTCCTGCGTGAAGCCCATTCCCTTGTCCTTGGCCAATGTCAGATTCCTTCCAAGCAGCCCCCAAAAGCTTTCTACATCTCCCCCTTTTTTACTGAATAAACAAGACTGAGCCTG